ATTGACAACGACAATGCAGTCTTTGGCGGCCATTTCTTCTTCGAAATTGAGCTCCAGGTGTCGACGGGGTGAGGGGTTCCATTAACCGATCAATGAACGACCACGAACGAATTCGTGTTTGTCATTCCTCAGCGTAGGTGAATAAGAACAGGATATGAGTTCAAGTACCAAAATATATTAACTGTCTTTTCGGAAACTCGCTTGTTTCCATCATCGTCATCATCATCACCTAAAATACTCTTCGTAGTTTATCTGTCGGATAATACCTCTATTGCAATAGTTAAGACGCGCTGTTTGAGGAAAGTAACGCAGGTAAAGATAACGAGGCAGCAACAGACTGAGTAGGACACGGCTCGACTATTAAAGAAAATAAAAGAACGCAGTTAAGACAAAAGGCCTAGGTAATTTGTATATAGGGATCGCCGATTTTTTAAATAATGCTTTCCCTTCGCCTAACCAGTCATTGTTTAGTTGTCTAACGATGGTCGACTTCCAAAAAGTTTAGTAGTTCTTTGCATGCTAAATGCATTTACAAGACATGCTAGATGATTTTCCAACTACCACAGTAAATGCTCCATCTTCTTTCCTGTAAGCAGCCTACCATTGCGAATTAAAAATAATTTAACTGTGAGTGACGTAGAAGCAAATCTTGTTGGACAAACTAAGGTTCTTTGAAAGACAAGCCGTGGACCCGTTCTCCGCAGTGCTGAAACTTGACACAATGTCATTTACGCAGATGACCTTAAGTGCATTTGCTTATGTTCCAAGGATGCGGCCAGTATTTGCGTTGATAAAATTAGTGCAGACCTGCTTACACACTCACGTTAGAGCGTTCCCTGGCAGATGGAGTTTTCTTCATTCAAGTGTAAATTTGGGTTTTTTGTCCCGCCGAGCTTCCTGGACCCCTAGTCTTTCAAAATACACCACTTCCAGAACGATCCACTATAAAGGATTTAGGTGTCAGTTACAAGAAGAAGCTAGCATGATGGTCTCATGTGGATTGAATTTCTGCAAAGGCTGCACAGATATGTTGTTTTATATCACATCATTTGTTCCTTCCAAAAATAAAGTTAAAAGTATACTGCATGTTCTTTATCCCATCCTACGTTACTGTTGTCTCGTCTTCGGTCGGGTGAATGCTTCTGACCACGATAAGTTTGAAAGTGCTCAGAGAGTTTTAAGTCGAAAAATATTTTATCTTTCTCGATTCAGTGTTTCTAATAGCTCATATTAAATTTCTTTTAATGAGAAGACTCGAAGGCCATATATGATAACTGTTTCGTGTTAACTCTAGGCTTAATCTTCCACGAATTGACTCTCTCACTCCGACAGATCGACCTTATGCTATTCGTAACTCCTCCATGATAATTTCTCCACCCTTTGGCTCCACATCTAACCACTCCCGTTTTTTGGTTCCAAATACAGGGTGTCCCAAAAAAAATGTATGCACAATTTAAATAATTGTAAAATCGGTGTTTACTGTAATTTAATTATTTCAAAAATGTAAAACTATTTACAAGTATCATTTTATTGTTTTTTTCACTGTATGTTCGCAAACTGACGTCCATTTAATCCAGACACTGCTGTCAAAATGCAGTGTAAAAACTATAAAATGATACTTCTAAATACGTTTACATTTTCGAACTAATAAAATTATACTAAACATAAAGGTTACAATTGTTCAAAATGTGTATACATTTTTGGGACACCCTGTATACTTTCCTTTGAAATAATATTCCACCCACTATTAGGGTTCGTCTACATTAGCGATTTTCAAAGCCAAATTACTTAAACAGTTAAAATTGGAAGAGATAAAGTCCCTATTATCCGTTTCCTTTCCTAACACGCATCCTCTGCACTCTGAAAAGAGTCCTCCCGGTATTTGAGGCGGTTCCATTTATAGTAAATTGTTTTCCACATACGTCTATTTTATCCTCTATAGAGTAATCTTTTCAGCGGTTTTTCGTCACCTTTTCTGTCCAATCATTATGACCGTTCTCCATTCTCCGTTTTACAGCCCTGACGATGGGCTTTACAGTCTTCTGTTTTCACCAGCTTGTCGCTGGACACGGCATTCCGCAAGGACACATATCCGGCGCCTCCACTGCAAAAGTTTACTCCTTACCAGTATAAAACTGAGCTTGTACAATAGACGTTGATGAGGCTCAGTTTCGAATGCTTTTTTGAAGTCTTCGAAGACTGCAAGCACCGTATCTCCTTCATCGAGTGCTTGGGTCCATCGTTCTAGACAATAGAGCAAATCGGTCAAGCAGGACCTTCCTCGAGGGAATCTGCGCTGTTTGTCAGAGCAAAGTCGAAAACGCTCCAAGAATTGCATCAGCTCGATTTTGGCTATTCTCTCCATAATCTTGCAGCATATTGAAGTAAAGCTTACCGGCCTGTAGTTGTTTGCGGACGCCCGGCTCACAATTTTGTTAATGGGTGAGGTCCACGCTGTCTTCCAGTCGGGTGGAAATTGGCTTGTATTAAGGAAGGCTCGGAAGAATAAGTACAAGTGTTCTGCCAACTCCACGGCTAGCTCTTGCAACAGCTTTACGTGTATTCCATCCGGACCTGGCGAGTTCATTTCTTGGAGCTTTAGAAGTTCTTGCAGAAGAATGACTTCTGTGAGGTCAACTGGGTCAGTGGTCGGAATCTCCTTTGCACTAAAGCTGATGATGGTCAGCTCGGCTTTTCTCTTAAAAACTGGTTGAAAAAAGCAGGAAAGATGTTCAGCTTTTTATTTATTATCGCAAAGATCTGAACAGTCATCCGTTTTTAACAAAGGGATAGTGTCTCCATTTCAAGTGCATTGCCTAACGTAGTTGTAGAAAAACTTTGGGTTTTCTACCGCACGGTTTATTAGGTCACTGTGGAAGCTTTAGCGGGTTTTTTATACAAGGCTCTTCTCCCTATATCTCTGTGCTTTATACATGTTTTGTGATTCAATGGTGCCTCTCTGAGACAGGATTACCACAGCTTTCGTAGTACAGGCACTGATTTGTTGCTCTCATGGCGATAGAATCGCGAGTGAACAAGCAGACCTATGCACGATGATGAAGTGTGATTGCAATGGACACAGGCTAGAATTGATTTCGCATTGTTGGCGATAGAGTCTATGATGGCAGTGCTTCGCAGGAGTGTCCACATTGGTGTTGCTAATGGTGGCGGTAATGGCCATGGACTGGGAAATTAGACACACCTTTCTCGTGCTGACATTGCGCTGGGTTCGCCGATATCCAACAAGGCCTAGCTCAATCCGGAATGTCAGCTGACACGCAGGTCGTCTGTAACTGGACACTACTTTAGATATCACAATAATCTCTGGGGGACTCTGGCAGTCACTTGGCACCCCCACCATGCAGCGGACTTCTCAGTCCGCCACAAAAGCATGTGATGGTCTTGCCCAGTTAATAGGGCAACTTCAATCCATATTTCCTTCCACGGCACTAGTATCATTGCTACCTGCTAAATCACCCAGTCTAACCTCAATATCCTTGGTCTCGACTGGATTGAACAACTTGGTTTGGCTGATTTGCCACTCCACCTTGCTTGCAGTCAAGTGCAGATTCCTGCAGTACCTGCAGACCCTGCAAACGAGATTCTCCAGGCTGCCAAAATGCCCGCTCGTCAACCGCCAGTACCATGGCAAACCCCGGATAGGCCTTGGTCACATGTGCACATCTATTTTGCTGGCCCACTGAATGGAGTCACTTACCTGGTCGTGGTCGATGCCTTCTCAAAGTGGCCCAAGATTGCACCGCCGAATACGGCAACCACCTCTGCCACTCTTGCCGAAAAATGCAGAGCATGCAGGTCAAGCCACGTCATAAGTGGTGCCGACCCACTTGAAGGGGAGGTGTTGGGAATGCACTGATTCCTATGATTGCTCATCTTGCAGAAAGGCCTTCGGGTGCAACTCCACGCAGCTGTCACGAGAGTGCGTCGTGGCTATCGATATTTCGTCATAGCTGATTAGTCCCTGTCGCCGACGCCTGCTCATGAAGCGGACTGAATAAATATCCCGCAGCTTTTTAGAAGATTGACTTGCAGTGCCTTGCTTGACTTGCCCTTTCTTGCCTTGACGTGTTCTATGTGAATACACTTATCCT